GCAAAAGGTTACTGGCTCCCGTGGAAAGGCTCTCCTCCCAACCCGTTCAGATCACCCAACCACGCCGGAGCGTACACTCATGCGAAGTTCACACATGAAGCAATAACGGATTTGTTGGCATCAGGGGCGGCAGTGGAAGCACGATCGGACGACGAGCTCACCTGCATCAGCCCTCTGAACGTGGTGGAACAACGCGAGAAGTGTCGGCTTATACTGGACCTGCGTCAAGTCAACCGGCATCTCGTAGTCCCCAAGTTCAAGTACGAAGGCCTCAATCGGGTAGCGGAACTAGCACAAAGAGGAGACTGGATGTTCTCGGTGGACTTGAAGTCAGGGTACCACCACGTGGATATCCATCCAATGTGCTGGAAGTTTTTCGGCTTCCAATTCGAAGGTCATTCCTACCACTTCCGGTCCTTGCCATTCGGTCTGGCAACTGCTCCCTTTGTCTTTACACAATTGATCAAGCAACTGGTTGCACGATGGCGGTCCCAAGGTGTTTGGGTTATCCCGTACGTCGATGATATCCTCTTCCTTTGCGAAGGGCAGGACATCGCATACCACACTTGTGCAACGATTGTCGACGATCTGCGACATGCAGGGCTTGTCATCAACCAGAAAAAATCACATCTCATTCCAACACAACGCCTCCGATTCTTGGGCTTGGAAGTGGACACCTCGACTTGCACTTTCTCGGTGGAGGACGAGCGCCGCGCGCTGCTCAACGCGACATTGGACGCCCTTGAAGCAGCGGGACAGGCCCGTCGATCAGTCTCAGTTCGCCAAGTGGCCCGCGTTACAGGAATGCTCGCATCCATGTCTCTCGCCCTCGGTGCTACAGCGCGCGCATTCAGTCAAAGCCTCCTCAGCAAAATCAACGACGCCACGTCATGGCATGTGAAGGTGGTTCTTTCACACGACGCCATGCAGGAGCTGAAGTTTTGGCGCTCTGAGTTCGATCACTTCAATGGCGCACCATTCCACATTCAGCACAGCTTTGGCGCGGTGCTTCACGTGGATGCGAGCGCCCATGGTTGGGGAGCCACATTGGCGAGCTTCCCGGGCCCTATGCTTGAAGCATCGGCAAACATGCCTGAACCGCTGCGCTCGACGTCTAGCACTCGTCGTGAACTCGAAGGGGTTCTATGGGCTCTCCGGTCATTCGAGGCTCACCTACAAGGCCAACACTTACTCGTCCACGTGGACAACCAAGGAGTGTTCTTTATCTTACGCAAGGGCGGATCCTGTTGTCCAGAGCTCACGCGCATCTGCCGGACATTAATCCATTTTTGCGTGCAGCACGAGACTCGTCTCGCCATAGAATGGATACCCCGATCGCTTAACGAGCACGCTGATGCGCTCTCTAAGCTACGAGACCACGACGACTACACCCTAAAGCAGCCCTGGTTCCGACTACTAGACCGACTTTTGGGTCCTCACACGATAGACCTCTTTGCCAGCGCCGCTAATTCACAACTCCCTCGCTTTTTTACGAAGGTGCCTCACCCTGCGGCGCACGCCGTCAATGCCTTCTCAATCTTGTGGACCGGCGAAGCTGCGTTCGCGTTCCCACCGCCTCAGCTGATCCCAGCAGTGCTGCATCATGCACAGCAGACAAACGCAAGGATCACCTTAATTGTCCCGGAATGGCCGGGTGCTTTTTGGTGCCCCCGGGTCCACCCTACGCCGAATGGATGGGCTCAGGAAGTCCTCACCCACATCCAGCTGCCTAGCGGGAGCCAGTGCCTTGGCGTTCGGACACACACCACAGCATTCTCCGGCTCCGGCCTTCCCAACAGCACCATGCATGCACTCCTATTTTCCTTCGCCTAAAGTTCTGAGCATACGTTTCTCATGGTACAGGCATAATGGCAAGACTTCAGCGCCAGCTCCTGTCCATTGTGTCGCAAGTAAGGCTGATTCAACGATCCGCACGTACGACCCCTACTGGCTCAAGTTTCGCTCATTCTGCGATCGGTTTAAACTGTTGTTCTTACCAACCACCGACACCACGCTGGCATTGTACTTAGTGCATGCAATTGAGCAAAAAGCCACACTCTCAGTCATACAGCTCACCTGCTCAGCGGTGACTTTTGCACACCGCATGATTGGAGCTTCTTGTCCCGTCTCCGGCCCATTCACGAGTCAAGTTTGAGACTACGCCAAACGGCACTGCCAGCAAGTCCAACGTATGGCCCAGTCGTGTCTGTCGACCATGGTTCCCGCGGAATTTCAAAAAGGACTCATCCCCCTGCTCATGTACTCCGCCTTCCTCCGATACTCCGATCTGGTGGCCATTTGCTGGGAAGACATCCAATTCGAAGAAGACGTCATGTGGATCCTCATCCCTCATTCCAAAACCGACCAGGAGGGCCGAGGCGTCTGGATCCCCGTGGAAGCCAACCCTGGCCCGTTCTGCCCCGTACGGTGCACCCAGCGTTTCCTGCGATTGGCACAATACGGGCCTCTTATACACGGACCACTGATCCGTGTATTCGGCCGCCGCACAGCCGCATCACCGGCGGACACTTCCCCCTCCTACACGACCATCCGCAACTGGTGCAAGGAGGCGTTTTCCAAGATCGGCCTCAACGACACCCATCTGGGCACCCATTCGTTTCGCAAAGGCGCAGCAACAATGGCGGCCAACGCCGGAATCCCAGACCGTCTTTTCCAACGGCTCGGTCGGTGGCGAAGCAGCACATCTAGGGACCTCTACGTGACAATCGCCACCCGAGAGTTGGTCAACGCATCTCACCAACTGCACCAGCCCGACGCTGCGCCGTCACCTCAGCAGCACGAAGGCGCAATCCTCCGCCAACGACTTACTCCGCGCCACATGCTTCAGAGGACCCACAAGCAATGAAGACGATGCTTATTGCTAGTCAAGAAGCAAGCTTTCTCAATATGTATATTTTCGAAAGTACTACACTTTCTAAAATTACTTATTGTGAAAGCGCAGCTGCTTGTACACAGCACAAGAACGCATCGTCGAAGCGCTACTCGCCCTTCTCCGACTACAAAAGAAGGGGTTTCGGCCATTTGGCCTCACCCACGTTTTCATTTTTGAAGTTTCAAGTTCAGTTTCCCACCCACCCCCCCCTTCGATTAGATAACCGCATGTAATGTAATGATATACGACGGGCAATGCTGTAGTTAAACCACAAGCAATGAAGACGATGCTTATTGCTAGTCAAGAAGCAAGCTTTCTCAATGAAGGGGGGTGTTGAGATATGAACTTTTATGAATAGGTATTCTTGTACGCTGTAGGCGACGACTTATTCAAGTACGAAGTCGAGGAGTCAGAAGAGTCGAAGCGACACCAGCAACCATTAGAACGAGACCGATGCAGGCAGAAACATTTGAAGTTATAAATGCGGGAACAGGTTTGAAACTGTACCGTGCTGCACGGTTTGAATTCACTTCAATGAGAGAATGTGCCCCTTATAGTACGTGGCTAGTCTGGGTCGTTCGCATCCTTTTGTATTTCCTATATAAACGATGTATGCACTACTATAATAATCAAAGTAATCTACATTCAATATTACCTGAGGTCATTATTTCCGCTGCAACTTTACTTGCGAACAACCCCGAGCCGATTTCTAGCTACGTCATGTTCAGGATTGTAACAGATTGGCCGGCAAGTGCTCGAAGTTGACAAGTGCGTTCGTTGCAATGTGGTCCAGACGTAGGTCAAGAATCACCCCGCCCTAGGCGTCCCACCTGGAACAGTAGCTAACCCTCTGTTCCTGAAGCACGGTTACAGGGCAGTATATGGTTTATTCACTTCGGTGAATACCTAACACTAATAATAAAGAATGACTCTCTTGTACAAGTGAAACTGTCGTCTAATGAGTACATTCACGACTCTGCGACCTGTTTTCGTACGAATCTGACGTCGGACAATGTTTTGGTAACATCTGCGAATCAATGTATGACATTGCAGGACGTGCGATTGCTGTCAGTAGTCAGACCTATGATACGGCGATTTATCGTTGTCGTGAATGGTCGCAAGCCCTGGGAGTGTGTGGTGTGTGCGTTTCATTGCGAATCATGTGCAACAACTGCCCCTGTTTGCTTTGCGCGCTGGACTAATTTGCTCAAACCTGCCCGGCAAGGCTGGAGCTTTCAATGCCGCCTTCAGAAACCCCTTGAAATTGCACGAACATAGACGATCGGACTGTCGATGTAGCGCACACCATATCCGACGGCTTTGAACGCAACGCTCCGTGACGGAAGGTCACTGTGCCGTCGACTTTCGTGTTTCGAACCTTTTTCGCTACCCATTCCCGCGCGCCGCGCTCTTGGCATCGTCACCCAGAGCTCGCGGACATGCGCCCCGATTTCATAGCTTCGACACATTGCTTTCGGCGTGGGGCAGTTTGAGGATGTGGCAGCATGGACAATCACGGCAGCAGCAATCAATCCCTCGCTCGCACCCTTGCCTCCCAGTTCCACCATCCACGCCATTTTGCCCCTTCCATCGCTTTGCCAAGGTCCGTCCCTCCCCATGCTCCTGCCATCCTACCCTGGCTTACGCAGTCAACACCAGGGAGTGCTGCTCGTTTCGTCTCCTCTATTCTCGATCTCCACCTCCCTTCCCTTTGTTGCCCTTTCCATAATCGGTCTGCCAAACCGAAAGTCGCAGAGCTATCCAAACGGCCGCGGCGCGATCAGTAATATTGTCCGTGGAGTAGAATCAAGCATCAAGTAGGAGTGCTACTAAGAGTCGAACGTTCTCCTGCGCCGCTTGAATGGGTCATGATCGCAATCTTTAGCCGCGCGCAGAGCGCCAATAACTAGCCGTTACTCACGTAGTTCCGTTAGCGCAGCAGAGCCGCACAATGTCGGACGAATCAGTCCTCATCCACCTCCCCCTCGCCTCCCCCGCCCACAACGCGCCCGCCGCCAAAATGTCACTCGACGATCCCTCCGCGCCCATCTCCCTATTCGCGCCGCAAATCAGCCCCGCGCCGCCGCTCTGGGCGGCGCTCGATGCCATGCACGGGCTGGACCCGGGCGGCGCGAGCGCGTGCTTCACCTCGTCGGAGCGTTTATCCGACACGGAGTTCGCCGACGACTTCGATCCGTCATCTCCTCCCGGCCCTTCATCTTTTCTGACGACCGCCGACGACATGGAGGCGCGCCTCTCCCGCCCGTCCCCGCACACGCGGATCGCGGAGGCGGAAACTCCGCGCAAGAGCGGCGGAGGGGGAGCAGGGGGAGACGGCGCTGGCGGAATGTGCTGGTCGCCAGCGTGGCTGCCGAGCGAGGAGGACATTTTCAACGACCCCATCAGCGGGGACAGCACAATGCTGCACGAAGCGCCGCCTTTCGCGGGAAACAGCGGCGGGAGCGGCGGAAGCCGCGGGTACCAAGGAGAAAGCGGACCGGGGATGGGCACTGGGGCGATGCCCGCCGGATCTGGCGGCGGGAATCGCGGGGTGGGGGGTATGAGTGGCGGGAATAGTCCGTTCGGAGTTAATCTGTCCGGGACAGACTCGGCGGGTTTGCTGCTATCGCGCACTTCGCCGATGCCTGGGATGACCGTGCAAGATTTAATCATGGCCGTTGATTCGGTGAGCTTCGCCACCCCGGCGCCGCACGGCAGCCGCGCGATCGGCGGCGGATCGGACGGAACGTCGTTCAACAACGCCCTTTCGTACACTAACGGACCGTCTAGCAACAACGCGCCGTCATCTTACACCAATGCGCCGTCCTACACTAACGGCCCGTCTTACGCCGCCAACCAATCACCCGAGCCTTGGTCCCTCACCTCCTATTACGACACGCCCGTTTCCGATATCCTCTGCGAGACTAATCAAGCCTCCACGTGTCCGTCTTCCATTGGCCCGTCGTCCACGTCGGATGTTCGTGTCTCGCCCACGCCTCAGAGCGACCTGTTCCCGGTTAATGCGGGAGGCGCTCCGATCGGCTGCTCGCCCAGTACTTATCGCGGACTGGCTTACAACGAGGCTCGGAGAACAGTGCGGGGCAACTTGATGGAGCGCCTCAACGCGCGGGAAAACGACACGCAGCCGCTGGATGCGCCGCAGCAGCCGCAGCCACAGCCGCAACCGCAGCAATTCAACCCTTACAGTCAACAGCAGCAGATGCAAGAGCCGCAGTCGCAGATACAGAAACAGCAACAGCAGCAGCAGCAGCAGCAGCAGCAGGAAGCGCAGTACGGCAGTGAGATGAACCACAGCAGCAGCAGCACGGCGCTGGTTCGCGACCTCACCTTCTCCGACTCCCCCGCTCTCGCCGCCGCCGCCGCCGCCGCCGCCGCCACCGTGGCGGGCGGCAGCATCTCGCCGCGCGCACCGCCGCCACTGGGCCAATCGGACCTCCCTCCTCCCCCTCCCAGGCCGCCGCAGCAACCGCTCCTGCAGCAGCAACAGCAGCAGCCGCAGCAGCCACTACAGCCGCAGCAACCACAACAGCACCATCAGCAGCAGCAGAAGCAGTCGCCCGTGTCGCAGGCGGGTGGCAGCGCGGCAGAGAGCAACATCTTCGCGGGGCTGGGCAGCCTTGACGGCTCCCCTCTCCCCATGCACCCTGCCGGTCTCTCCGCTGACTCGGGCTCAGGCTCGGGCCTAGGCTCGGCCCTAGGTTCGGGCCTAGGCTCGGCCCTAGGTTCGGGTTCAGGGCCGGAGTCAGGTGCGAGAGCAAGCGGAGTGAGTGCAGGCAGTGCGAACGGAGAAGGATACCCGCGTGGGGCAGAGGGGGAGAGCGCGGAGGCGATAAGGAGCGGAGGGAAGGGCGGTAGCTCTGCTGTGCCAGTGCTGCAGCTGCCGCTTCAGCAGACGCAGCAGCAGCAAGCAGGGCCATCAAGGCAGCAGCACTCGCCACCGGCTGGAGTGCCGCTCGTGCAGCAGCAGTACCAGCAGCACATGCATCTGCAGCCAGCACCGCAGCCGCAGCCACAGCCACAGCCACAACAGCAACAGCAACAGCAGCAACAGCAGCAGCAGCAACAACAGCAGCAGCAGCAGCAGCAGAAGCAACAGCAGCAGCAGCAACAACAGCAGCAGCAGCAGCAGCAACAGCAGCAGCAGCAGCAACAGCAACAGCAACAGCAACAGCAACAGCAACAGCAGCAGCAGTACCAGCAGCAGCAGCAGCAGCAGCACCTGCTACAGCATCAGCCGCATCAGCTTTACCAGCAGCCAGACCTCAAGCCTCTTCCCGAGATGGTGGTGTTGCAGCAGACACAGCAGCAGAGAGCACAGCAACAGCAGCATCAGCAGCAGCAGCACCAGCAAAACCAGCAGCCGCAGCAGCACCAGCAATACCAGCAGCAGCAGCAGCAGCAGCAGCAATAGCAGCAGCAGCAGCAGCAGCAGCAGCAACAGCAACAGCAGCAGCAGCAGCAGCAGCAACAGCAACAGCAGCAGCAACAACACCAGCAATACCAGCAGCAGCAACAACAACAGTATCGGCGGCAGCCGCAGCAGCAGCAGCAGCAGCAGCGTCAGCAGCCTCAGCAGCAGCAGCAGCAATATCAGCACCAGCAGCAGACGCAGCAGCAGCAGCAACAGCAGCAGCAGAGCCAACAGGTGCGAGACGGTGCAGAAAAGCCGATGCTTCTGGGATCCTTCCTTCCGTTCATGCAGAAAAAGGCCTCAAGCGGAGGGACAGCAGCAGCAGGCTCAGCAACAGCAGCAGTGCCGCTGGGAATTAGCGCGAATGGCCCCACTATCGCCAGTTGCAGCGGTGGCGCCTGTACGGGCCGTGGCGAAAGCCAAGCTCACAGCCACACTCACAGCCATAACCACAACCACAGCCACAGCCACAGCCACAGCAACGGTCACGGGGCGTGCAGCTGCTCTGGTGGACAGCACGTGCATCCATCACCGCATCACGGCGGCCGTAGCGGCGGTGCTACCGGGCTCCAAGTGCCGCCAGCGCCACAGCCGCCGCCACAGATGATGCTGCAGCCGCCCGTCCAGCAACAGCCGCAGTTTCAGATGCAGCAGCTGCCGCAGCAGCAGCAGCAGCAAGGGCAGCAGCAGCAGCAGCAACAGATGGGCACATGCAGCAGGACGCAGCACGGACACGTCTGTGGTCCGAATACCCCTCGTCTCGCCCTCCCCTCCCCCCTCCACACCCGCCGTTCCTCCTGCCTTTGCTCCCCCTCCTCTGCCTCCTCCCCCGCCTGCTCCTGCCGGACCTCCCATGCCTGTTGGTCCAAGCTCATGCCCGGGAATAACTGGGAATAACGGCATGAGCGCCAATAACTTCAATAACAACAACAACAATAATAATAATGGCATGGTGGTTGGAAGCGGCAACAATGGTGCGAATAACGTGGGCGGCGGGACAATCAACAGGGCTGCGCCCGCCACCCACATGCATGCGGCCTGCACCTGCTGCGCTGGTACCGCTGCTGCCGCTGCTGGCAATGCTGCTTCTGCTGGTGGTGCTGGTGGTGGTGGTGCTGCTGGTGGCCCAGCTTCCGTGCCCCTTCCTCCTCTCACTCGCTCACACTCTGCCTCCTATGCTCCGGCAAGTCATCCTCCACCGTCCCACGCCCACCATCCCTTGTCTCACTCCCACTCATTCTCTCACACAGTGGCATCGCAAGGGTTTCATTCCAGCAACAGAGGAGCCAATAACATGGAAGCCAGTGTCAATAAGAGCATTGGTAACAGTATTGGTAACAGTAACAGTAACGGATATAGCAGCATGTCTGCTCCTCCTAGGACTCCTGCAGCAGCCCCCTCCCCGGGTCCACCCTTCTCCTCTCCTCTCATTCAACGATACTCCACTCCTCCCACTGCTCCTGCTCCTGCTCCTGCTCCTGCTGCTGCTGCTGCCCCGAATGCTCCTAGAGCTTCGTCTAACTCACCACCACTGGCAGCACCAGCACCAGTGGCAACAGCAGCAGCTCCAGCACCAGCGGCAGCAGCAGGCTCGCCCGCTTTTTCCAACGCCAGCACGCCTGTTATTGCCGCCGCCGCTGCTCCCCGTGCTCCGCCCACTCCCCTCTCTCACGCGCCCCTCTCCCTCCCTGCCTCTCGCTTCGGCAGTGGCGGCAGCAGCAGCACCCCACACAGTAATGGCGCTCCTTACAGCGGCAACCACGCCCCCAGGGGTACCCCCTTGCTCGTCCCCTCTCGCTCTCTGCCACCCCCTGCGCTCGACCACTCCTCCCTCGCGCCCCTCTCCCTGCAGCAGCAACGACCACTGCACAGTCAACAGCCGCAGCAGGGGCAGCAGGTGCAGCAGCAGCCGCCACAGCAGCAGTTGCAGCCGATGCAGCAGCAGTCGCAGCAACAGCATCAGCAGCAACCACAGCAGCAGTTGCAACAATCGCAATCGCAGCCCCTTCCACCTCCCCCGCCTCGCCTTCTCCTCTCAACGCACCCTGCCCTCCTCCGCTCCCCATCAGCACCCCCCTGCACTCCCTCCTCCGCCACTGCCGCCACCACTGCCACCATCCCCACTGCTTCTCCTCCTGCTCCTGCTCCTCGTGCGCTGGTCCTCCCCCCCCTACCTTCTGCCGCGTCAGCAGCACGGCCCCTTGACGTCAGCAGGCATGCCGGCAGCACTGGCAACACAGCTGTGACAGTGAAGGAAGAGGCGACCAGGGCATCGTCCTCACCTGGGGGAGGTGCATCTGGTGGGGCAGGCGTGCCTAGAGCAGGCGCATCTGTGGACCTGACGTGCGAGGAGGACGAATTGAAGCTGAGCCTGGATGCTGGCGAGGAAAACGAAGGTGGGGGAGCAGCAGCAGGAGCAGCAGCAGCAGGAGCAGCAGCAGCAGCAGCAGCAGGAGGAGGAGGAGGAGGAGGAGGCGCATTCAAGCACGCAAGTTGTAAGAACGACCCCAGCCCCACCGGGCACGGCGACACAGTGATGCAGCTGCAGTACGCGGGAGGCAACGGGCCACTCGGCTTCGGATACAAGATGGTCCCCCGCAGCGCTTCTATCACCACCGCCCCCTCCTCCCTCCCCTCCCTGGGCGGCGGCGCTTCATCAGCAGCAGCAGGCTCAGCCTCAGCTGCTGCTGCAGCAGCTGCACAAGCGGCACGAGGAGCGGGTGACGTGGGCGGGTTTATGGATGATATGGAGGAGGATGACGAGGATGACATGATGGGGGGCGGATCAGGGTACAGTCGCAAGAGAGGGTTTGTGCAGAACGCAGCAGCGTCTGCAGCGAGGAAGCGGCGGCACGACATGAACCACCGCGTCAAGCGCCTGCTGGACCTCGTGCCCGTCTCCAATAAGGTAATTTGCCATCTGAGGGTGATTACCCTTGTGCGTAGCTCCAATATGGTTATCTACCCTTGTTTGAGCCTTTATTTGTGCCCGTGCTTGTGGGTCTCTTGTTGCCATTTGAGCCGCTCATGCCATTTGGAGTATTTGCCTTTCTCCCCGTCTCCTTCTCTCCCCCACTCCCCTCCTCTCCCCCACTCCCCTCCTCTTTTCCAACTCCTCAACGCCACAGAGGGACACAGCGGCCATGCTGCTGGAGGTGATACAGCTAGTACAGTCCACCATCGCTCAGATCAAGGTATGCAAGAGAGCATCCATGCTGTGCGTGTCTCCATGTGTGGATCTATGCACGCCGGCATGCCCTACGTGGAGATGACATGACTTTTCAGAAGCTGTGTGCAGCTGGTTGCACCAACCACAGCCAGTCTCGTTTTGTCTGCTGTCTCATAGGTTTCTTTCTCTGTTTTTATAATTATGAAGTGCTTGCTCAAGGAAGGATTGGGGTGGTTCTCACCAACCCTACCTACAACTCAAACTCAAGCCCTCCCTATGAAAACCATCCTACTTCTTATGTTTCACAAATAAAACCTCGCCGATCTCATAATGCCTGTTGCTGCTGTTTTTGCCTGTGGTGTTTCCAGGAAATAACGCTGGGAGAGGACTGCCCGCCGTCAGAGCGAGCATGTGGGGTGTGCAAGGAGGAGCCACTCTCGTCCCTCACCCACCACGCCCCTGCCTCCTCTGGTATCAGCCTCGCTGCCTCCGCCGCTGCAGAGAAACAACAACAGCAGCAGCAACAGCAGCAGCAGCAGCAGCAGCAGCAGCAGATGGCAGCCAGCCAATCAGGAGCTGCCAGCACATTCTCAAACAACACCACAGCTGCTGCTCCTACCCCAGCCGACTCGCAACCACCCCAGCAGAGCGGGGCAATAGCGCCGTCAACAGCAACATCCGCGGCTCCTGTGGAGAACTCGCCCAACTCCAAGCAGAGTGCGCGGGCGGCACAAGCAGCCAAGCTAAGGATGAGACGAAAGATGCAGCAGGCGAGGCTAGAGGCCGAGCGGAGAGGCACGGGGGGAGCAGGAGCGGGGGCAGGAGGGAGAGATGGCGGTACTGGTAGGAGTGGCGCGAGTGGTGGGAGTGGAGGGAGTGGAGGGAAAAAGGGAGGTGGTGGTGGTGAGAAGGAGAAGGGTCCCATGAAGACTCTGGCTGTGAGAGGGTTTGCTATTGTTAGTGCTAAGTGTGCTAATATTGTGGCTGCTAAGGTGGTGGTGCCAGATGTTCAGGTGTAGATATGAGATGCTGTAGGTGGACGAGTGCTCATTGTGCGCAACCACCCCGTTTATAAGGTAGGTATTTGAGAGTTATAGTGAACCGTTTATACTTGATACGTAGTATGGTATGTAGTGGACAGCTACTACGCTTGATACGTGATACATAGTATGCGTAGCGTGCGATCACAGTTTATACTCTTAGAAACTTAGGCATAAGTTGTGTTGCATTAGGTCAAGGTTGATGTACAAGTCTAGAGTGTCGAGAAAATTTCTGTACCCTCTAAGGCTAGCCCCAATATAGCCTAGATACTAATATGCATATGTTTTGACACACCCCCATAGGCGAAGTGGGGGATAGCCAGCACAAGGGGTCACAAGACCAGTCAAGCAAAGCAAACCAAAGCAAAGCTCAGGGTGGATCACAACGTCACCACACATTCTGAGCAAAGGTTCAAGGCCTCAAGGCCGGTTCACATGCAGGATGATATATAGAGGTAAACAAACAAGAGCAGGTATATATAAGACACAGTACAAGCAAGGTCAAGAAGTGAGCAAGTGAGGCCAAGTAGGCACAAGACCTAGCATAGTACAAAAGCGCTGATGATCGCAAGGCGGAAGTGTCAAATGTTGTAGCCTGTAGTGAGGTTTGTCTTAGGGGGTACAAAACTTAGGGTTAGCTATATGTACCCCAACCAACATCAATGCACCATCCATTCTTCATTCTGACAGGAAGAGCCTTGGTGAAGATATCAGCAGTGTTGGCCCGAGTGGCCACGTAAGCAAGGCGCAGCTGACCACGCTGCTGCAGCTCACGAGCAAGGAAGTAGCGAAGAGCGATGTGCTTCGTTCTGTGCTCCAGTCTCTGCTCCTGACACAAGGCGAGCATGGCCTTGTTGTCTACGTACAGCACTGGAGGAGAACGAGGCGGCTCTCCAAGGTCAGTCAGCAGGTAGGTCAGCCAGCGTAACTCCTGTGCAGCCATGGCTCCTGCGTAGATCTCAGCCTCACAGCTGGAGCTGAGAACAGAAGACGAGCGAGTAGACCGCCACGAAACAGAGCCGGAACCAAGGCTGAAGGTGTAACCTTGTGACGACCGCTGCGTAGCCAGGTCGTCGACCCAAGACGCGTCTGCGTGACCCGTGAGGACCACTCGACTCCGCCCTCCAAGCACGAGCCCCATGCCCGACGTACTGCACAAGTAGCGCAACACCCTCTTCGCTGCAGCCATGTGCTCTGGTCGGTGTCTCCCAGGATCAATATAGCGTGCGAGTATGCTGAGAGGGTAGGCCAGGTCAGGTCGTGTGCAGGTCATCAGGTACATGAGGCAGCCAACAAGCTCTGGGTATGGGCCACTCGGCTCTACGGACTCATCCGAAGGCAGAGCTCAGAGCGAGTGGCAAGTAGACAGAGGAGTGGCCTGAGGCGAGGAGTACGTGAAGTCGAAGCGCTGAAGGATCTGCTGCACCATGTGTGACTGAGTCAGGGTAATGGTGCGCCGTGCTCTGTCCCGAGTGATCCGCAGTCCAAGATAGCTGCGCAGTTCACCCAGGTCTGTGCACGTGTGTCGCTTCTGCAGCTCGGACTTCACGTAGGCGAGTCCAGCAGTGTCAGCTGTAGCAAAGACCAAGTCGTCGACGTACACGAGGATGTAGAACGGCGGCAAAGAGGTGTCGGTGCGTAGAAACAGCGACGGGTCTGCAGTAGAAGGAGCAAACCCAAGAGCCGCAAGCGTAGTCCTCAGTGTGTCGTGCCACTCACGCGGCGCCTGGCGGAGACCGTAGACTGGCCGCCGGAGGCTCCACTGGGTGCCAGGAGGAAACGACCCAGTGAAGCCAGGTGGGCGGCGCAGCCAGATCTCCTCATGCAGGCTGCCCTGTAGGAAAGCTGTGCTGAAGTCTAGAGAGTGAAGCTCGTAGTCACGGTGAGCGGCTATGTGTAGCAGCACCCGAAGAGTGGTCATCTTCGGGGTGGGAGAGAAGGTCTGAAAGTAGTCAACTCCCTGCCGCTGACTGAAGCCTCGAGCCACGTAACGCGCCTTGAAGACAGGCGGAGAACCCGGCGGCCGCTTCACCCTGAAAATCCACATACCACTGACGATGTTCGCCCCAGGTGGGGGAACCTCGTCAACGTAGGTGCCTGTGGACTTCCAGGAAGCCATCTCTGTGTCCATGGCTGCCTGCCACTGAGAGGAGTAGGGACCGTCTATCGCCTCCGCGTAAGAGCGCGGAGTCGGGATGTCTGGTGCATCCGGGTCTCCCTCAGGGGCAAGCAGCATGGCCACGAGATGAGGTAAAGCAGCAGCAAGACACTGGAACTCCTCCTGCCTGTCCTCAAGGACGTCCGTGCTAAGAGCACACTCACCCCCGACGGACGGAGGACAGTCAGACTCAGACTCAGCAACAAGACTGGCAGCGAAGTCTAGACGACAGGCAGCAGCAAAGTCAACAAGCTCAGCGACCAGGGCAGACGCAGCAGTAGACTCAAACGACGGGTCAGTGACAACAGTGGCTAACAGACGCGTGACAGTAGGGTGCTCAGCACAAAACCGGTCAGACGCAGGGTCCGGAACGGCAGGCAGAGAGGACGCAGGGGGAGACGGCAGAGGAACAGACTGCGGAACAGAGGAAGGACGACGGACAACAAGGTGTGCACTGGGGACAGTCGGCTGACGTGAACGAGAAACACGACGACCAGTACGACCAGAACGAACAGGCGAGACAGGACGCGACGCAGGCGATTTCGCGACGCTCAGCAGGACTACCTGTCTGCTCAGTGTAAGGAGAGGGAGCAGGCAGCGGTGAGCCAGTCTGTAACGGAAGACCAGTAGACGACGGGAGAGTAACAACCTGACGAAGAGCAGAGTCAGGTGGCGGCAGAGACGACGGAGACGGCGGAGCGAAGAGCAGTCGTGTTGGCGCAGCTGCACCAGCGCCGGCAATTCCAGCAGCTTCAGCACCTCCAGCAGCTCCAGTGCCTCCAGCAGCTCTCAGAACCGGTACCTCCAGCGCCAGCAGCTCCAGAACCAGCGTCACCAGCAGCCGCACCCCCAGAACCGGCACCTGCAGTCCCAGGGCCTCCAATGGTAGTGTCTCCCGCAGCAGCACCCCCAGAACCAGCACCTCCGGTCCCAGGGTCTCCAACCGCAGCGTCTCCCGCAGCAGCACCCCCAGAACCAGCACCTCCAGTCCCAGGGTCTCCAACCGCAGGGTCTCCCGCAGCAGCACCCCCAGAACCAGCACCTCCAGTCCCAGGGTCTCCAACCGCAGTGTCTCCCGCAGCAGCACCCCCAGAACCAGCACCTCCGGTCCCAGGGTCTCCAACCGCAGTGTCTCCCGCAGCAGCACCCCCAGAACCAGCACCTCCAGTCCCAGGGTCTCCAGCAACGGCACCTCCAGGCGCAGCACCCCCAGCCCCAGCAGCTCCAGTACCTCCAGCAGCAGAGCCCCGAGCTCCAGCAGCGCGACGCTGACGGCGACCGTACCAGTCGTGCAGCTGCTGAGTGGTGAGAGGCACACGTGGACGAAGGCGGCCACTCCAAGTAGGCCGCGCACCAGCAGTCCCAGTACCCTCAAGCGTCTCACCTCCAGACTCAGCACCCCCAGACTCCGCACACACAGGCTCAGTACCCCCAGACACAGCACCCCCAGGCGCAGGACCTCCAGTCTCCTCACGTGCAGACTCAGCACCCCCAGACTCCGCACCCTTAGACGCAGCACCTCCAGGAGCACCACTCCCAACAGCACCAGAGTCAACAGGAACCGGCTGCAGAGGCGGCGAAGAAGGTCGCGGAGGGAACCCTGGAGGGGTCTCCAAGCGTGGTGCACGGCGGTAGGCCGCCGGGGCGTCAGCAGCAGCGTCACCCCCCTCAGGTGGGCCAGAGGTGTCGGAAGTGACCTCCAAAGGCTCAGCCAAGGGGGGGGGGGGTCTACCTGAGACACACTTGAAGGAGCAGGACCCTGAGGGGGGAGGGGGTCTACCGGGGGGGGACCTGGCGTAAGGAAGAGCGGCGGGGGGGGAAGGGGGGCAGCGCGGTAGGGGAAGAGACGGTAGTACGGAACCGACTCGTCAAACGTGACGTCCTGGGAGGACAGAACACGGCGCGAGGTGGGGTGGTAAAACTGCCAACCAGGCGCGTCAGGGGGGAAGCCAAGGAAGACGCAGGGAACAGCACGGGAGGACAGCTTGTCCGTAGACAAGTCTCGGACAAAAGCCCGAGATCCCCAGACACGGAACGCAGACGCATCGCCAACCTTCCCCGTCCACCTCAGAGTGGGGGAGGTATCCGGCATGGATACCCGGGGCTGAAGGTTGATCTGACGCGCCGCGTACTGAACCGCAAACGGCCACAGAAAATGGGGAGCAGCCGCATGGATCATGGACGTACGAGCGACATCCATGACCATGCCAATGCGGCGCTCAGCAATCCCATTTTGCTGTGGAGAGGCCAGAAGCGTGAACGACTGGCGGATGCCCCGCGCACGACAGAAGGCTCGCAGAGGGCCGGAGGAAAACTCTCCACCTCTGTCAGAGTGCAGACGCAGAACAGGAAAGTCCGAGCCGAAACTCTTCCTGAGTTGGAGACGAGCTGCGCGGATCCAGTCGATCAACACCTCAGTGACCTCATCCTTGCGGCGCAAGGGGAAGACTGCGGTGTAACGCGAGTAGTCGTCAACCACCAGCAGGAAGTAGCGCTCGTGACCCTGTCCACGGACGCGGGCTGGGCCCCACACGTCCATGTGAAGAGTCTGCAGCGGAGCCTCTGTCGGCGGAAACTCGGAGGAGTGAGGAGCGGCGCGCTGCCGCCCCTCGACATAGGGGACACAGGTAGGGGCAGGCCCCGGGGGGAGGGGAGGGAGCGACCGGGGGAGACCAGAGACCAGGACACGAGAGGCCATGCCTCGGAGACGAGGCAGGGAGGGGTGACCAAGACGGTGGTGCCAGAGAAGAGTCTCGTGGGACAGGAGGCGACACAATCAGGGGGAGGACTCAGGACCAGACCGAGACGCCGCAGCAAACACCTGACCCGACGCAGCTACCTGACCAGGCACAGCAACCGGAGGAGACTCGGTAGTGAGGGTGTACAGGCTCGACCCCGGCCGACGGGTAAACGTGGCCAAGTGTCGGCCTGTGTCCGCACACGTGCAGTGGGTCACCCGCTGACGCGCAGGGGTGAACTGGTCAACGCGGACGGCGCTGGAGCTGCATCTGGCCACGCCAGGAGCAGCAGTAGCAGTAGAAAGGGGAGTAGCCGCAGGAGCAGCACGAGCAGTAGTAGCAGCAGTAGCAGCAGCAGCAGCAGGAGCAGCAGCAGTAGCAGTAGAAAGAGCAGTAGCAGCAGTACGGGCAGGACAGTGCTCACCAGTGGCAAGAAGGGCCGGCGTACAACGGCGGCAACGGCGAGGCCGGCACCACTGTAGGGCGAGGGCTCCGCGGCAGCTGCAGGTGGCGGCTGCTCCAGGGGCGGCTGCTGCAGGGGCCAGGGGCGGCTGCTGCAGGGGCGGTTGCTCCAGGGGCCAGGGGCGGCTGCTGCAGGGGCGGCTGCTGCAGGGGCGGCTGCTCCAGGGGCCAGGGGCGGCTGCTCCAGGGGCGGCTGCTGCAGGGGCCAGGGGCGGCTGCTGCAGGGGCGGCTGCTCCAGGGGCCAGGGGCGGCTGCTGCAGAGGCAGCTGCTCCAGGGGCCAGGACGGGAAGGGCCGCGGCTCGGCTGCAGAGCAGAACCGGGACGGCGGCGGCGGCTGCTACGCCAGAGGCAGCGGCGGCTGTCACGGCAGGAGCGGCGGCGGCGAACGGCAGCAGCGGCGACTGCTCCAGGGGCAGGGGCAGCTGCTGCAGGGGCGGCTGCTCCAGGGGCAGGGGCGGCTGCTGCAGGGGCGGCTGCTCCAGGGGCAGGGGCGGCTGCTGCAGGGGCGGCTGCTCCTACAGCAAGCAAGTAGCAGCAGCTGCAGCAAGTAGCAGCAGTGGCAGCAAGTAGAAGCAGCTGCAGCAAGTAGCAGCAGCGGCAGAAAGCAGCAGCACAGGCGCAGTGCAGCGTGCAGGCCTGGCGTGGGCTGTTCCGGCCGCGCGCTTGCCTGGCGAAAGGTGGCGAAAGAGCCACAGGCGGCGGCCGAAGGGGACGCGGTGGCGGCGCGCGGCGGTCGACGAGCGGCTAGGGAGCCGCGCTAAGTGCCGCGCGAGGCCAGATCAGGCTGCGCGCGGGCGGCGACGACGGCGCGAGCGGCTAGCGGGCCGCGCGCTGAGGAAAACGGGCTGCGCGCAGGCGGCTTACGCGACGCGCGGGCCGGCGGCAGGCTGCGCGGGCGGCTGACGTGGCGCGCGGGGCCGAAAACGGGCCTAAACAGGCCTAAACGAAGAGCGCGCGGGCTGCTCAAGCGGCGCGCGCGGGAAAAAAAAAGGGCCGCGCGCGTGCAGCCGAGGCGCGCGCGGGCAGCAGGCAAGGCAGGTAAGGTAATGTGGTAACGGTGGGCCCTTATCTTAGGGCGCGTCCCCTCCCTCGATCGATCGCGAGATCGCTGTGGAAAACCGATCGGGCACACCGATCGCAGGATTGGGGCGGGATTGGTAGGAGGTGACAGTCGCGGATCGATCGCGAGCCCTGGGTGACAGGATCGAGAATTTTAGGGGGAAAAACTCTCGATCCTACAAAAGCCGAGATCGGTGTGGCGGGGAAGGCACATCGATCGTCATCAGGGGAGGTGACAAGATCGTTGAGCACCAAAATACTGTACATTCGCAAGCCTTCTCGAAATCTGGTAACCCTGTCAATTGCGACACTGTACCTGTCCCTCGATCGATCGAGGGCAGGATCGATCGAGGGAGGGGACGCGCCCTTAGGTCCTAGAGACCTCTAGGCTCTAGATACCATCTTAGAATCTTAGGCATGAAGTTGTGTTGCATTAGGTCAAGGTTGGGGTACAAGACTAGAGTGTCGAGAAAATTTCTGTACCCTCTAAGGCTAGCCCCAATATAGCCTAGATACTAATATGCATATGTTTTGACATATACATGGCTGTTAGGAGTACGTAGTGGTATGCTTTATACGTGGTTATGTAGCTGCTTCTAGTACCGGTAACACAACACAAGTAAAAAAAGCTGATAAGGAAGTACCGAAGCATAAGCTCCATCAGAATTGCACTACTGTATGGAACTAATGGTTTACTTTACAGCCTAGGGTTTAGTTACAACATGTACTACCGCTCGATAAGTTCCACCCGAAAAAGGTCCAAAGAACTGTCAGTGCCAACAGGCATCTCTCTTTGTTTGGTACGCAACGCACATGCGCATGCATACCAGTACGATGTCTACTGTACTCACAACAAAGTCCTCTCTACTGGCCCTGTTGCTTGCAGACAACAAAAGACACACTCACCAACTGATCTATAGCCCTTTTCTGGCCTCACCATTAGATCCACATTCCATCTAGCTCTACCTTTTACCAGGCTCTACCTAACAACAGCATTCACCGGCTGCTGTGCCCTCATCCCCCCTCAACACCATCCTCCTCCTCCGCCCCTCCTTCCAGCTCCGGTGCAGCAGGCAGCGTCTCGTCCACTGCCTGCAACAACTGCTCCACCCCCTCACCCGGCAGACGCATCTCACAGTCTGATATGATCTGCCAGGGGAGTGATGGGGGAGAATGAACAAGCTTTGAGGTTCCTCAGAACTTGCAGCAGCTGCTCCACCCTCTCACCCGGAAGGCGCATCTCACAGTCTACTATGATCTGTCATGGGGGAGCGATGCGGGAGTATATGGGGGAGTGATGGGGGAGTGATGGGGGAGTGATGGGGGAGCTATTGTCACCTACCAGGTGTGCTCTTGAGGAATGATTTTCACCCACCAGGTGTGCTTCTACAGGTTGGGATGGCCTCAGATTCACCAGCTGCAGCGTTTCCATCCGCGTCAGTCCAAACTCTGCCGCCCGCTCCGCGCACGCCGCCACAGCCGCCCGCGTCTGGGTGGCGGCAGGGGCGGCGCAGAGGTAGGTGTAGACCTGGCACTCTATGGCTGCCGGCCCCATGCCGCCCTGCGACACGTCCACTGCTCCCATTGCCCCTCGGTCTGTGAGCAGCTCTAACACCTCGTGGTTTGTCAAGAGGCCCGCACATGGCTGCAGGCTGGGGGGGCAGTGGCAGGGGGGGATGGGAGGAGGGGAATGGGAGGGGGGAATGGAAGGAAAAGGGCACTCTGTGGCTGCCGGCCCCATGCCCCCCAGTGACACGTCCACTGCTCCCATTGCCCCCCGGTCTGTGAGCAGCTCAAACACCTCTTGGTTCGTTAATAGGCCTTCACATGGCTGCAGGCTGTGGGGCGGACGAGAGGGGATGGTTGTGTGAAGGGAATGGGAGGGAAAGAGGGATGGGTGAAGGGAATGGGAGGGAAAGAGGGATGGGTGAAGGGAATGGGAGGGAAAGAGGGATGGGTGAAGGGAATGGGAGGGAAAGAGGGATGGGTGAAGGGAATGGGAGGGAAAGAGAGATGGGTGAAGGTAATGGGAGGGAAAGATAGATGGGTGAAGGGAATGGGAGGGAAAGAGAGATGGGTGAAGGGAATGGGAGGGAAAGAGGGATGGGTGAAGGGAATGGGAGGGAAAGAGGGATGGGTGAAGGGAATGGGAGGGAAAGAGGGATGGGTGAAGGGAATGGGAGGGAAAGAGAGATGGGTGAAGGGAATGGGAGGGAAAGAGAGATGGGTGAAGGGAATGGGAGGCAATCGGAGCGGGGGATGAGGAGAGAATGGGAGGGGTGGACGGGAGGGGGGAACTGGAAGGGGAAATGTGATAAGAAATGGAAGGGCGGAACGAGAAGGAGAATGGGACGGGGCGGTGGGGATGGGGGAAAGGGAGGAGAGGATGGGAGGGTGGAGTGGGAGGGGGAAACGGTAGGAGGAACAGAAAGGAGAATACTTGCGCGCCCATGCCCCTCTGCTTGACACCGCTCTCGTGATCTCGTACATCGTCAAACGGTTCACACCCGGGTGGGGACCGAGGGTAGGGGTCAACGAGGGTAGGGGTCAACGAGGGTAGGGGTCAACGAGGGTAGAAGTCAACGAGGTTAGGGGTCAACGAGGGTAGAAGTCAACGAGGTTAGGGGTCAACGAGGGTTTGGCGAAAAGTGGGCGAAAGGAAACGGGCCGACGGGCTAGGTGCTGGTAGAGGCTCACACTTTCATTTGCCTTGCTCACGTCGGACTGACTGCGGGGATGCGTTTCTGGCGGAGTTCGAGGGCGCGTTTGATCAGAAATATGCCTCCGTTTACAGAGAGCACATCCGTTGCTGCATCGCCAACCTACAAGGTCTCGCGTGCAAATTGTTTTCCTGTCGACAGTTACCTGTTGTCGGCTACGAGGGTTTGGCCCATTTCAGCGACTAGTTTACGACGGTACTTTTAGTGGGGAAGTAAAGGGCAGAGAGCGAGGGTTAAAGCCAACAGCATACGGTGTGAATATTGCTGTCTCCCACCGCCACCTCCGCCCAGCGCGTGCGCGGATTGAGTGCCGCCAGGAAGTCATCATCCACATCCAACTGGCGGGTGGGGATGGGGGGGTGGGGTGGTGGAAGGAGTAAGAGGGAGACAGGGAGGGTTGAAACCAACAGCATACGGTGTGAGTGTTGCTGTTGCAAACCCTAATTAGGGTTGTACTCGCTATAGAGTACCCCACTGCAGGCTAGACAAACATCACATTCTGACACTACGTGCCACAACAAGTGTGCTGCGCATGCGCAAGTGCCGCTGCTTCCAGTACCGTATCTACCGTAATGCCCCTGTCACTTGCAGGCAACAAAAGACACATTCTACCAGTTGATTCATAGCTCTATTATTGATTTACAACATAGGCTCTACCTTTCATCTACCAGTAGCTCTACCTATCAGGATCTACTAAACAACAGCATCCATCTTCTGCTGTGTCCTCAACCCCTCTAAACTGCATCATCCTCCTCCGCCCCTCCCTCCAGTTCCGGTGCAACGGGCAGTGTGTCGTCTACGGCCTGCAACAGATGCTCCACCCTCACACCCGGCAGGCGCATCTCACAGTCCGCTGCAACAGCTGCTGGCAGCGTCTCCCTTCCACCAGCCTCATCCTTTCACCAGGTTGAACAACACATCAGCATCCACCAGCTTTAATGCCCTCAGCCCCCCTCAACTGCATCATCCTCATCCTCCGCCCCTCCTTCCAGCTCCGGTGCAGCGGGCAGTGTCTCGTCCACTGCCTGCAGCAGCTGCCGCTCCACCCTCTCGCGCGGCAGACGCATCTCACCATCAGATCCAACAGCTGCTGGCAGCGCCCCCCTTCCACAAGCCTTAGTGCCCTCAGCCCCCCTCAACTGCATCATCCTCATCCTCCGCCCCTCCTTCCAGCTCCGGTGCAGCGGGCAGAGTCTCGTCCACTGCCTGCAACAGCTGCTCCACCCCCTCACCCGGCAGACGCATCTCACAGTCCGCTATGATCTGCCATGAGAGTGATGGGGGAGCGATGGGGGAGTGATGGGGGAGTGATGGGGGAGTGATGGGGGAGTGATGGGGGAGTGATGGGGGAGAATGGTAGAGAGACGTCTCAAAACCCTTCTTTTTTCACGTGATGGGGGAGTGATGGGGGAGAATGGACAAGCTTTGAGGTGCCTCAGAACTTGCACCAGCTGCTCCACCCTCTCACCCGGAAGGCGCATCTCATGGGGGAGCGATGCGGGAGTATATGGGGGAATGATGGGGGAGTGATGGGGAAGTGATGGGAGTGATGGGGGAGCGATGGGGGAGTGATGGGGGAGTGATGGGGGAGTGATGGGGGAGCGATGGGGGAGTGATGGGGGAGCGATGGGAGTGATGGGGGAGCGATGGGAGTGATGGAGGAGCGATGGGGGAGCTATTGTAATCTACCAGGTGTGCTTATGAGGAATGATTGTCACCTACCAGGTGTGCTTATAAGGAATGATTGTCACCCACCAGGTGTGCTTCTACAGGTTGGGACGGCCTCAGATTCACCAGCTGCAGCGTTTCCATCCGCGTCAGTCCAAACTCTGCCGCCCGCTCCGCGCACGCCGCCACAGCCGCCCGCGTCTGGGTGGCGGCAGGGGCGGCGCAGAGGTAGGTGTAGACCTGGCACTCTATGGCTGCCGGCCCCATGCCGCCCTGCGACACGTCCACTGCTCCCATGGCGCCCCGATCTGTTAGCAGCTCGAAGACTTCATGGTTTGTTAGGAGGCCCGCACAGGGCTGCAGGCTGCTTGGAACGGGCAGGGGGGGGTGGGAAGGGGAGGGGGGTGTGGGAGGGAGGAATGGGAGGGAAACGGTTGCGGCCCCACGCCCCCCTGCGACACGTCCACTGCTCCCATTGCCCCCCGGTCTGTGAGCAGCTCAAACACCTCGTGGTTCGTCAAGAGGCCCGCACATGGCTGCAGGCTGTGGGACGGAAGAGGGGGAGGGTCGGATGGGCGAATGGGAAGGGGGGATAGGAGGGGGAAATGGGAGGGGGGAATGGGAGGGGGGAATGGGAGGTGGGAATGGGAGGGGGGAATGGGAGGGGGGAATGGGAGGGGGGAATGGGAGGGGGGAATGGGAATGGGGGGAATGGGAGGGGGAATGGGAGGGGGGAATGGGAAGGGGGAATGGGAGGAATGGGAATGGAAGGGGGAATGGGAAGGGGGGAAGGGAGGAATGGGAAGGAATGGAAGGGCGAATGGGAAGGGGAAGGGAAAAGGAATGGGAAGGTCGAATAAGGGGGGAATGGGATACTCAAATGGAGGGGGGAATGCGAGCAGCAGCGGATCATCACCAGGGGGACCACAAGAAGGGGGTTGGAGGAGGAGAGAAATGGAAGAGAAGTGGGAGGGTGGAAGAGAAGAGTGGAGAGGGAAGGAGGGGTGGAAGGCAAGAACAGAGGTGGAAGGCAAGAACAGAGGTGGAAGAGCGGAGGAGGGGTGGAAGAGGAGAGGCGGGGTGGAAGAGGAGAGGCGGGGTGGAAGAGGAGAGGAGGGGTGGAAGAGGAGAGGCGGGGTGGAAGAGGAGAGGCGGGGTGGAAGAGGAGAGGCGGGGTGGAAGAGGAGAGGCGGGGTGGAAGAGGAGAGGCGGGGTGGAAGAGGAGAGGCGGGGTGGAAGAGGAGAGGAGGGGTGGAAGAGGAGAGGAGGGGTGGAAGAGGAGAGGCGGGGTGGAAGAGGAGAGGCGGGGTGGAAGAGGAGAGGCGGGGTGGAAGAGGAGAGGCGGGGTGGAAGAGGAGAGGCGGGGTGGAAGAGGAGAGGCGGGGTGGAAGAGGAGAGGCGGGGTGGAAGAGGAGAGGCGGGGTGGAAGAGGAGAGGCGGGGTGGAAGAGGAGAGGCGGGGTGGAAGAGGAGAGGCGGGGTGGAAGAGGAGAGGCGGGGTGGAAGAGGAGAGGCGGGGTGGAAGAGGAGAGGCGGGGTGGAAGAGGAGAGGCGGGGTGGAAGAGGAGAGGCGGGGTGGAAGAGGAGAGGCGGGGTGGAAGAGGAGAGGCGGGGTGGAAGAGGAGAGGCGGGGTGGAAGAGGAGAGGCGGGGTGGAAGAGGAGAGGCGGGGTGGAAGAGGAGAGGCGGGGTGGAAGAGGAGAGGCGGGGTGGAAGAGGAGAGGCGGGGTGGAAGAGGAGAGGCGGGGTGGAAGAGGAGAGGCGGGGTGGAAGAGGAGAGGCGGGGTGGAAGAGGAGAGGCGGGGTGGAAGAGGAGAGGCGGGGTGGAAGAGGAGAGGCGGGGTGGAAGAGGAGAGGCGGGGTGGAAGAGGAGAGGCGGGGTGGAAGAGGAGAGGCGGGGTGGAAGAGGAGAGGCGGGGTGGAAGAGGAGAGGCGGGGTGGAAGAGGAGAGGCGGGGTGGAAGAGGAGAGGCGGGGTGGAAGAGGAGAGGCGGGGTGGAAGAGGAGAGGCGGGGTGGAAGAGGAGAGGCGGGGTGGAAGAGGAGAGGCGGGGTGGAAGAGGAGAGGCGGGGTGGAAGAGGAGAGGCGGGGTGGAAAGAGGAGAGGCGGGGTGGAAGAGGAGAGGCGGGGTGGAAGAGGAGAGGCGGGGTGGAAGAGGAGAGGCGGGGTGGAAGAGGAGAGGCGGGGTGGAAGAGGAGAGCGGGGTGGAAGAGGAGAGGCGGGGTGGAAGAGGAGAGGCGGGGTGGAAGAGGAGAGATGGTGAGGCTCACACTTTCATTCTCTTGGTCGCTTCTGAATCTGAGGGGTGTCGTTCTCGGTGGAGTCCCAAGGCGTGCCCGTTAAGGGGTTTTCGACTTTGCCTGCTCAGATTGCTGAGGCGACGTATGCAGCTGCGTATGTTCCGAGAGTTGGCCCGTTCGGAACAGGGACAAAGCAAGGCTCCTGACGCCCCACCCACCACAGGAGGAACGAGGTGGCAAGGCAAGCCTCTCAAATCAACGTATCAACTGAAGCCGTTCGATCGGCGCAGACATTGTTCCACCTGGATATGGGCGGCTGTGGGCGGCTGTGGGCGGCTGTGGGCGGCTGTGGGCGGCTATGGGAAGCTGCTGGCGGTACGGGCGTGACTGGCGGCCGGCTGTTGGCAGTGTGGGCGCGAGCTGCTGCCTACACGGGCTGCTGCAGCAATGCGTTCTGCCTAAGGCGCGCTGGCAGAGGTAGGCACGGGCAGCAGAGGCTGTGGCGGCTGTGATGGTGGGCTGGCAAAGGCGGGCTGGCAGATGCCCTCGGGGGGGGCGTGCGACGAAAAGGGCCTCTTAGCTAAGCGTGACGGGACAGGCCGCGGCGCGACGAAACGAGGGCTCGCGGAGGGCCTTTGAGTGCGACGAAACAGGGCCTGCGCGGGCGTTTCTAAGCGCGAACAAAATGACCCCTCTGGGGTGCCCTAAGGCGACGTAAACGAGCCTAAGTGACGGGCTCCTTAGCTGAATTTCACCAAGTACGAGCTAAGGGGAGGGAGCCGAAGCGTGGTGGGGAGAAACCGAGAGGGAATGTGTACTCACTAAGATGAAGGTGATACAAATATGAACCCTAAAAAGTTTTAAAGCCGGCAGCCCAAATTGCACAAGTTTTAAAAGGTTGACGCGAGGGGGTTTTTGTGGTGAGGGTTTTGGCGAAAGATTCCGATTTCGCTTTTTTCGTTTTTTTCGCCAAACCCAGCCCGCCCTCGTATTTCGCCCTGGGGGTTGGTTCAGTTCCCAAAAGTCCCAAATTGCAGGCACGCTTTTCTTCAAACCTTGAAAACACTAGTTCGTCAAGTTTTAAAAGCTTGACCCGCGCGGCCCGCAATTTGGGACTCGGGCTTTAAGTTTTACAGTACGGCCCCGGATATAAGCGCAGGCCTATTAAAAGCGCATGCGCTTGTGCTGATACAACCAAAGGATCCAGTGGATAGGATAGAATATGTTGAGCCTAAGAGGAGACAATAAAGTCTCAGTAAAGACCTTGTTGAATAATAATGAAAGAGAACAAGATGATTGAAGGATAGGAGTACAAGAGATTTAATAGAAATCTAGCTAGCCATGTACTCTGAAGGTACATTCCCTTATTAACTGTATTGCATAGCTACAGTAACCGCGACTATTACTATCATCGAAAGTTGCCGTGTTGCAGTTAGTTAAACTGTCGCGCAGTTACTGGATCGTCAAGGGTCACGACCGTTGACTTTCTTAGACGGTTGACCTTCGGGTGACCCTCGACATTCCGCGTGCTCTATATGAGCTATTGCGGTACTGGTACAGTGGAACAACTTCGGGAATGCTTATATAACCTTTCGGTTATTCCAACACTCCCCTTCATTCCTGAAGGTGGGCCACGTGGGATTTCTTGGTGATCCCGCAGAGGTCGGCGCAGTGCTGGTACTGCTGACGTGGCAGTTTCTTCGTCAGGAAATCGGCTGCCATGTCACCGGTCGGGCAGTACGTCAGCTTGACTTTCCCCTTGTCGATTTCGTCCTTCACGAAGAAGTAACGAAGGCCGATGTGCTTGGTGCGGTTGACGAAGCCGGGCTTGTTTGCGATCTTTATCGCGCTCTGATTGTCGCAGAGTAACGTGAAGTGCCCGTTCATCGTCACCTTCGCCTCTTGCAGGAGCTCCATCAGGTACAGTCCTTCGCGAACAGCTGCGCTGGCTGCGATGAATTCTGCTTCAGCTGACGAAAGGGCGATGAGTTCCTGTTTCTGGGAGTTCCAAGAGATGAGTCCAGCAGGTTGGAGTTGGAAAATGAATCCTGTGCGGGAGCGTCTGTTGTCAACATCTCCAGCGTGATCAGCATCTACGTAGCCATGGAGCTGCAGAGTAGCGGTGAGGTTAGCTTCGTAGGTGAGACCGACGTCGGGAGTGGAGATGAAGTACTGCAGTGCTCGGCGTAGATCCAGTAGATTCTCCCCTTCAGGTCGCTTCAGGTACTGTGCGAGCTGGCTTGCGACGTAGGAGAGATCGGGCCGGCACGTGACGGCGGCGAACAAGAGACATCCCAACTGCTGCTGATAGAGACGATGGTCGTCGGGAGAGAGTGGTGTGGTGTCGGGCTCGTGGTTAGGAGGAGGAGTGCGATAGGGGGTGGTGAGGTTGATAGGGGCGATGGCGAACCGCTTCGCGAGGGTCTCGGCGTATTTGGCGGCGGAGAGGTGAATGGAGGAGGCGGACTGAGTTACGTTGAGGCCGAGAAACTGAGTGACGTTGTGGTTGACGGTCACTTCCAGCTTCTCCTTGATGTCAGCCTCAAACCGGTCCAGCAGCTCCGTGTCGTTGCCGGTGTAGAGAAGGTCACCGACGTAGGCGACGGGAGGATGAACTTTCCGCGCGATTCACGCCGATACATTCCGAGGTCGTGCGGCAATTGAGTGAAGCCGAGCTCAAGGAGGACGGAATGGAGGTACTGCTGCCACAGACGAGGAGCTTGCTTGATTCCGTAGAGTGACTTCTGGAGGAGGCACATGGCGCCGTCATTTTCTTCGAATGCGTGCGGCTGCTCGACGAAGATGATGGCATCGACGGGAGCGTACAGGAAGGCGCTTCCAACGTCGATTTGCCGGAGTGGTCGCTGTTTGACGGCGGCGATGCAGATGAGAATGCGCACCGAGGTGTGACGGCCGACTGGAGCGTAGGTGAGAGTGAAATCCACCAGGTGAGTCTGTTCGAATCCCCGCACCACCCAGCGCGCCTTGTACTTGTCGATCGAGCCATCGGCGAGAGTTTTGATGCGGAAAACCCATTTGCCGCTGAGAATTTTTCTCCCCTTTGCAGGCGACCGTGGGACCAGCTTCCAGGTGCCGCGCCTTTTCAGTGACGTGATTTCGGCGGCCA